CTTTGAGGAATGACCTCCGGTCCAGTATCCCACCATTTCCGTCCAAGCTTCTCCAAGATGAGCAGAAGACTATGAACTTACCTGCGGTCCCAAGTCATCCGAGCATGCAGACCTCTGGTGCCAGTCAAGTGCTTGACACACGTAAATGCAACAGCATTCTGAGCTTTTCAATCCTCAGTTCTTGGAAGATATTTGTACATACATGAATCTCTCTCTCTCTATATATATATATATACACATCATCGAGTGTCTTATAGTATACATATATATATATATAAGAAGCCAGCTCTGCGCGTGATTGTCCAAACGCCATGTAGTTGCGCGGCGTTGCATGGTATGTATATTCAGTCGATCTACGTATTTGCATATCCACAGTTAAACACCTAGAACGAAGTCTGAATCCTAAACCCGAATCTAATCCTAAACCCTAATGAAGCCACTAGTCAACCGTCTTGCCGACTACGAACCTCGTCTGGATGCGTCCGAGTTGCGAGAGCGTAATGAAGCCATGCGAGAGGGGAAAAATAAACCCTGAACCCTCATTATCGTCCTTGCTAGGTAGGGGAAAAACCCTACTTCAACCCCAAACCCTCTACTCTAACCCCCTTCGTCCGAAGTCCCGGAGCCCGGGCCTCCCCGGTCTGAGCTGGGCCTCACAGTGAGGTGTCCGCAGGGCGGGGCCTCTCAGTAGCGAGCACGCGCGGGAAAAGCCGGGGAGGGAGAAGGTTGAAAGCTTCAGGGCTTGCTGCTGTCAGTATTTGCGCATGTTTCTCCACAACAAGGCTATGAAGTGTTCTAAATCTCGCAGCGTCTGGGTCTGTTCGTGCTCGTGTTTGTTCTGGTGGAACCGTGGTAAGCTCGCAACCGGGTTTGAGATTTGGACATGACTGCTCGTGGGATCCTAGCTCTCCTTCTCTAAAAAGCCGCATTGGCCCAAGAACGGCCATGCGGCCGCGGATGTCATGAGGACGGTGTCTGACACTTGGTTGCATAAGACAAGATGGCCAAGGCCAGGTTGTCCTCGCTCAGAAATCCCGGGAAACGAGCAAAGCCTTGAGTCCCACCCTCTGCCCTGGAATTTCAGGTACTTCAGGGTTGGAGGGTGTGAGCTTTGTCAATTCAGGCAGCCGCATCGCCAAGAGGCTGGCTGTGCGGAGGTCGGATTTTTAGAGCTGATCTCTCGAGTTTCAAAAGGAATCGAAACATTGAAACGTAAGTTATTTCAGGGATTGCGTGTTCTGTGGGCTTCAAAGTTTAGAAATAAAGTTCTTATCTATGGCCGATGCTCAGTGGCATCTGGGTTCATGCTGCTGGATGGACTGCTGGAATCAGAAACACCTTCGCAGCACCCGGTGCTAGAAAGTGGATGTTGTGCTCTTCTAGCCGAGCTGTGCCCTTCCCTAGTAGCAGAGTGGGTAACCTTTAACCTTTTTTGGGTAGTACCCAAAAAGATTAACCTTTAGTTCCCCATGATACCCGAAACTTGTCGGCTTCTGTCAGCGCTGGACAGGTCTTCGGCTTTCCTCCGATGACCTCGGACATGCAACTCTCGCATTCTTGCTTTGGAGCCTGTAGTCGTTTTCTGGGGCTGGGGAGACTCAGGTAGTATTCCATTCCTTCCTCCTACAGTAATGATTAAGCCCCTCCTTCCTCCCTGAGACAAATAGTCGGTTTTGGCCTGTTGGGACATGGGGCGAGCTGAAGCAGCTCGGGCTTCGATTTTGAACAGCAGCCGGAGCAGGAGTGGTTGTGGCAGTGCTGTTAGTCGCAGTAGTAGTAGTAGTAGTAGTAGTAGTAGTAGTAGTAGTAGTCAGTGGGAGTGGCGGTGTAGGAGGAGCAGCAACAGCCGCAGAGCAGGGGCAGGACCCAGACCGGAAGCCAGGAAGCAGGAACCAGGAACAATAGCAGTAGTCCTAGTAGTAGCAGCTGCAGGGAGTTGAAGTAGCATTAGCAGCAGTTGTAGTGGTAGTGGTATAGTAGTCGTAGTAGTCGTCGTCGTCCTCGTTTCGTCGTCGTCGTCGCAGTAGCAGTAGAAGTAGCAGTAGCAGCAGCAGTAGCAGCAGTAGCAGTAGCAGTAGCAGTAGTAGTAGTAGTAGTAGTAGTAGTAGTAGTAGTAGTAGTAGTAGTAGTAGTAGTAGTAGTAGTAGTGGTAGTAGTGGTAGTAGTAGTAGTAGTAGTAGCAGTAGCAGGAGCAGGAGCAGGAGCAGGAGTAGGAGTAGGAGTAGGAGTAGGAGTAGTAGTAGTAGTAGTGGTAGTGGTGGTAGTGGTGGTGGTGGTGGTGGTCGTGGTCGTGGTCGTGGTCGTGGTCGTGGTCGTGGTAGTGGCAGTGGCAGTGGCAGTGGCAGTGGCAGTGGCACGGGCACGGGCACTGGTACTGGTACTGGTACTGGTACTGGTACTGGTAGTGGTAGTGGTAGTGGTAGTGGTAGTGGTAGTGGTAGTGGTAGTGGTAGTGGTAGTGGTAGTGTTGGTGGAATAGTAGTGGTAGTAGAGCAGTAGAGTAGTCGAGTCGTAGAGTCGTAGAGTAGTAGAGTAGTACCAGGAGTAGTAGGAGAAAGAGTAGTAGGAGCAGTAGTAGCAGTAGTAGCAGTAGTAGTAGTAGTAGTAAGTAGTAGTCCTAGTCCTAGTCCTAGTCCTAGTCGTAGTAGTAGTAGTAGTAGTAGGAGTAGTAGTGGTAGTAGTGGTAGTAGTGGTAGTAGTAGTAGTAGTAGTAGTAGTAGTAGATGTAGTATGTAGTATGTAGTATGTAGTATGTAGTATGTAGTATTATTATTATTAGTAGTAGTAGTAGTACTAGTAGTAGTAGTAGTAGTAGTAGTAGTAGTAGTAGTAGTAGTAGTGGTAGTAGTAGTAGTAGTAGTAGTGGTAGTGGTAGTGGTAGTGGTAGTGGTAGTGGTAGTGGTAGTGGTAGTGGTAGTGGGAGTGGGAGTGGTAGTGGTAGTAGTCGTCGTCGTCGTCGTAGTTGGAGCAGCAGTAGTAAGAGCAGCAGCAGCAGTAGTGGTAGTGGAAGTGGCAGTGGTAGTGATAATAATGGTAGTAGTAGTAGTAGTAGTAGTAGTAGTAGTAGTAGTAGTAGTCATCCTGGTGGTGGGGGTTATGGTATTGGCGACAGTGCGAGAGTGGTAGTTACACACAGTAATACTGATGATAATACTTGTAGTAGTCATTTAGTAATCATCATCACCATGAGCTTATCGTCAGCATACGCAGGTGTATGTTATGCATGTAGATCAGTTTACAGGTTATATACATATACACATACATATACCGCACACGCAGACACACACACACACACACACGTGTATACATATACATACATTTTCTACATGTACATACACACAAACACACACACACATACACACACACACATATATATATATATATATATACATATGTACATTTTTAGTTTTTATGCAGGCATTTACAGTGTATATATACATATATCTACACATATACGTATGTGAATAAAGAATACATACATACATATATATATATATATGACAATAAGAGGTAACAGGTTTGTTTGGTAGTCGTTGTAACTCATGCTGCCAGATCGATCGCTCCAGACGCGAAGCGCCCGCGCCTGGATGGAGGCCGCGTCATTCGTGGGCAATTAGCGTTTTCGGCTTGAGCTGTTCTTGTATTTTTGCTTAAGTGCGGAACACATTCCCTGAAAGGAGCTTGCCAAAACAAGTGCCTGCTTCTGCTGTCTCAAGGTCAGGGCATCAGAAATTTGTCAGTTCGTGCAACGAGTCATAGATGCAGCACATATGCCCAACTCAGACAACCATGCTGCAGACAAGAGTACGCAATGGCCAGCAAATTTCAGCTATTCTCAGGCTTAGGGATCTAGGCCGGGGCGCCCGAGAATCAGCCTGGCCATGGTTGTTTGTCGTCGATCCCCATAATTCGGCAGATTTTATCGCATTGTCACTGTCCAAAGCCGACTCAGTGGCGATGTCACAGCTGGCTGGCAGCCAGTCAGGGTATGCCCCTGTCCCTCAACATGACACCTCAGATGTGCCTGGCCCTCAGTATCCCCTCACGGGCGAAGGCATGGAGAAAGGTGAGCCGGATGGCTGCATCAGGGAATGCGCCGGCATCTCCGAGATTCTATGCACTTGGATGAACCTCTTGCTCGTCTTCGTGCCACTAGGAATATACAGCCATTTTTATCACTGGAGTGCGGCAGCGCGCTTTACGTGTAACTTCGTGGCTATCGTTCCCTTGGCCGCCATCTTGGGTGGTTCCACCGAAGCCCTGGCCGCCCACACGGGGCAAATGATCGGCGGGCTCTTGAACGCAACCTTCGGAAACGCCGTGGAGATGATCGTGACTGTGAATGCCATCAAGGCCGGCCTCGTCAACGTAGTGCAGGGGAGCCTCTTGGGGTCCATTCTCTCCAACATGTTGCTTGGCAATGCATTCGAATGCTTTTTGAAGTATCTTTGCATCAACTTCAGCTGCAAGACGCTCTCTTGCTGCACACTCGAGGCTCTTGGTCCTTGGCATGTCCTTCTTTGCGGCTGGGGTGGTGGAGAAAGAGAGCAGGTTCAGCGCCAAGGGGGCCTCTGCAAACATGACATGTTTAACGCTGGGCTCCATTGCTCTGGCCTTGCCCACGATCTACAACTGCATGGCTCCTTGCTTGATTTAATTCTGGGGTGTGCCGCTTTCCGGACGAAGTATCTGAGCACGAAAACCGCTGCAAGAGCGATTACTGACCCACCACCCGACCCCTTTTCTTGTGCAATTCGATCTGGACCTGGCCGGGATTCGGTCGGCTGGGAGTTTGGCAGTCCGCGGCTACATACGAGAGAAACCTCCTGGCTCTCAAGCCCTAAAGTGGTCCTAGTAAAACCAACGGCTGTCCGCAAACACTTTTCCATGAGCTTCAATTGCGGAACCAGAAATGGCAACATCCTTTGCCGACCAAGACTCCATACTACGGGGGGTGAAACTCGGAAATCAGGCATGCACGGTAAGCAGCCTTGTTTTTGCCAATTCCCACACCTTCGCGGTAGCTGCTAGCTACAAGACGGGAGACTCCCTGCTGCTGTGGAAAGCTCGACTCAGGAGAATACCTCCACAGAGGATGTGCTGAGTATCTCACGAATCTCCTCCGCGGTCATCGCATTCGTCTACGTTCCTCAGCTGAAACATTATTTTTGCTAGTGACGTCTTGCTGCTAATTCTCCTCCTCAGGGTGCTCCATATCATGGGAAGCTACACTCTTAGCCTCTAGAGAAAGAAGGGTCTCGGAAGCGCTTCATTCAGCCTATCTATATACTTGCTGAGCTTGTAAAGGCTTTGTGTTGAGCTTGGGTGCTTTCCTGGCGTTCGTCGGAAGGTCGAGCCTTTGTTTCCGCCCCGGAAGATTTCATAAGCCTCGGATCGCCGCAACCCAGGTGCTCTTTCTCATCTTCCAGCTCTTCACCCATGCCCACTTGTTCGCATCAGAGGGCGGCGAGGAGAGTTCTTCGAGCTTTCACGACCACAGCATGGACACATATGGTCATGTATTGTATAGCCAGAATTGGAAATGATGTCAGGACGAGGAAGTCTCCATTTCCGCTCTGTCGGCTGTCCTTCTGCTGCCGCTCGGCAGACTTGTGCATAATTCGCTGTGAACTGGCTGTGAAGCCTCGGCTTGACAGTGTCTTTTGTCAGTCCGAGTTTAGGCAGCGACCAGAAACCCCGAAGGTTGACGGATGCCGTTTCAATATGTTGTCCAAATGAAGTGTCTGTAATCAGGTGTGTCCAAGTAGTCCTCCGGTTGGCCCGAAAATTTCCACTGGCTTCGTGCAGTATGCCTTCTGCTCAAAGGTATACGTAGGGTTTTGAAGTCAGGTGGTATCCCTGCGGTGAGTGAGATATAAAATTGAAGCAGCAATGCTGTTACGGGCCTGGTGATGTCGTCTCCAATTCACGGGCTACCATGTCCGGGTCTTCCCGTGGAGGCCCCACCAGTATGCAAGTCAAGAGCACCATCGCTGAGGATCTTTGCGACGCTTGCCGTGGCCATATGCTCCGAATACCTCGTGGACTCTATCGAGGGCGTCACCGAGGAATTTGGCCTGCCAGGACTGAGTGGTATGAGCATCAGATACCTTTAGAGGGGCTTGTTTTGTGTGACCATAACCCTCCGACTATAGCAGCTGCAGGTTATAAGTTGTAACTTGTTGTGCCGTGCAGAAGTGCGGAATCGACCAAGAACGAGTCACAACAGTTAGAGAAGTGGTAGTTGCATGGATGGTAGGGGTAGTATGTCCATTATCACCATCGTAGTCGTAGTAGGATATGGCAATATAGTGCACCTAGTACACCTGAGAGTAGCACGTCATGTCGTACAGATACACTGATAGAAGCATGAAGGTCGTTTCGAGCTCGTCGTCGTGTTAGCGAGCGCATTTGTTCACGCTTTGATTGCTGCAGCGGCTTCCACTCTTGCTCCTGTGGTCCTGCGGCTACTACTACTGTTGTGCTGTCACAGCGGCGGCTGTTGCCGCTGCTTCTAGTGGCATATTGCGACAACTACCACGATGCTGTCACAAGCGAGTGGAAGGTGTTCTGAGACCTACTCCAACCCAAACTGCAGATTTCCCATCGCAGCTCATATGATGATGTTGGTGATGATGGCGGACGAAAACGGATTTCCACAACCAGAAGCCGAAAAAAAGAAGCTTGAAAGCCGAAAAGTTCACAGAACGCATGGCACCGGAAGCCTCGGATGTGAAAGGAGCTTTCATTGGTGTGATCCTGCTGCCGATTGTGGGGAATGCCGCCGAACATGCAACCGCCGTCACCGTGGCCTTCAAGGGCAAGATGGACCTTGCATTGGGGGTCGCGGTGGGATCATCGACGCAGATAGCTTTGCTTGTGGTGCCATTCTCGGTCATCGTTGGCTGGGTGCCTGGCTCAGTAGTTCTGCCACGGCAAACCGACGTACTGCTGCTAGGGAGCCGGGTTCTGGCTACTTAGAGTTTCGGATTAGTAAATTCAGTCATGAATGCATTGCTGGTGTCGGCTTTGGCCTTCCGCACCATATACGTGAATTGCATGGCTGCGCTCTGAGCGGAGCAGACTAAGCCTCCAACGCCCCTCCAAAGCCGTGCTGAATGAACGTGTTAGCCCGCATCTATCACTGAGTTATGGCATCGGAGCCCCTTTGGTCCACCCACAGACTGCATAGGTCATGTGTGTTACTCAACATCGTCAGCCGATTTCAGTTGCCATGATTAGTGCTGCTTGTGACTAGGTATCTCGCTGCAGGGAGGTAGGCAGCGGCAAGAGATAAATGATTCTAAGGCATTTGACGTGCCGATGTCTCTAGACTTCCGAATCTTTGACACCACGGTGATGATTCTCTCCGTGTTCATCACACACACCGCACTTCAAGATGGCTGCTCAAACTGGCTAGAGGGATCGATTCTGATCGCCATCTACGTCCTGATTGCAATCATCTGCTGGTACATACCTGATGCAGACGGGTCTCAATGAGTGACGCGACTTGCTAGTTCAAGTTCACGCCGTTCGGTCTCACAGCGAAGTTCCCGGCTAGCTGCGCCAAACTGCAGCGACCCACATTCGTGGCCTGTCCACACTGTATCCGACTAATTGGTCTGTGAATTAAGCTCTTGCTCTCCGTGGAAGGTAGATGGATACCGGCATGTTTTGACCACTCCCACACTTCGCTCAATGTCCGTCGTTAGCATGCTCAATATTATGCTTCCTTTCCGCAGGGCCTGGCATCCATTCAGGAATTTCTGCCAAGTTTCGCACGGATGTTTCACCCGACACGAACGCATGCTTCGCGCTTGCTGTGACAATGCCGAGAAAGATAAAAATCGCGAATCGTTGCACGAGGAGTCTGCAGTTGCTTCGTGCTTTTATTTTGGCGATGATGTTTTTGGTGATACACCCTGTGCAACAGTATTAATTAAATCAACTGTCCATGGTTACCATCTGGAAGCCTCAACCAAGCCTGCCAGCACTGCACCTGCACTAGACCGGCACAGTGCAGTTGATGTGACTAGTTGCGGCCATTGCACTGCAACTTACGTTGAGAGCGCAGTGAAAGTCTCGGCAGCACCGTCTCAGGCGCACCTGACCTCTGAACATCTCTAAACCATGGCACTGCCACGGGCAAGTCGCCACACGTTTCTTGAAATTCACCAGGGATTCTTTTGCCGAGTCGGTAGTGTCTTTTTGCTTCTCTCGTGCCCAGTGCGAGAGTCGAAGCCTTGCATTCAGCCTTCGCAGCCTTCACCGAGCTCCTAACAAGCAGGTCCCAGCCTCGATGCCAGTGATGCGCTGGCCAAGCTACGGGCAGCCGCGCAGGCTGACGAGCCCTCATTGACTCGTGCCCCTGTCGAACACCAGCTGCGGCCTGTTTTCAAAACTGGCGTCGGAAGAAGGTTGGGACACTTTCAGTAAATATCCACCACTGGCCACTGTTTGCCTGGGCCTAGGTAACTGGACACCTCAAGACTTCCTAGGTCCTAGCTCGGAGACCAGCATTGCCATGACTTGTACTTGTGGTCCGCTTTGTTGGTAAGATGGACTCAGAACCCCAAGCACGCTTGAGTCGCTTTGCAGGCCGCCATCGATTCGGTCACCATGTCGATGCTTGCAGGTCCCGGGGTTCAGGATGTGGATTGCTGGATGTCTCAGTTTAGAGCCAGCCGCTGCAAAGTCGCTAGTGCTGTCGGGAAGCTTTACCAAGCGAAGTGGATCACAGCTGAAGGCTTGGCACAAATTCTGTGCCTCTACAAGTTTCTGCAACTGGCTCTCTCCCTACAGTTACCGTCGCAGCTTCGACCATCATGGATAAGACGTTACCTCTTCGGGCGTGGGCTACATTTGCTGGAGTGGAGCAGAGTCTCCCTGCCTGGGCGATGTAATGCTATAGAGGGAGCTGTACACGCATGTGCCAGCATGTCCCAGCCATTGCTCTGTGTGGGGTGTTTGGGATTTGGGTCCAGTAAATCAAGTGCATTGAAAGGGACATCTGACGGCGCCACCGCGCCCGCGCAGCCCAAAGCTCCAGGCGAGCATCTTGCGATGTGTAGGAGGGTTTCGTCTCTGCGAACGGCTGCTGCCCTTCCACGTGGATGCTTGATCGATGGATGACACGTTTGAGCGATCAAGTTTCAGCCATGTCGTAAGATGAAACTGCAGCTTGGTCTTAGAGTTACGTAGGTGGTGGTAGTAGGAATAGGACGAGGAGGAAGTAGTAGTATTTGGAGGAACCACAAACTTCAATTAGCGGAGTTCGTGTCTCAGACCTGGACATGATGACAGCGACAAAAGCGAAGTCACAAGGAAGCACTTGTGCAATTTCCTGCAGTCCTGGCAAAAGCAGCGCCTCCCGCGGCAGCGCCTTCGGCCGCTGTGCCTCCTGCGGCTGCGCCCTCGCTGGCTGTCACAACCTTATGCTGCACAAGTCAAGCATGAGGGACGTGGTTGATGCGATATTGTAGGACATGGTGGAATTTGGCCAGGCCAGCCTCGATGCTTTGGGAGCAGCCACAATGGCGCTGACCTTGGTAATGATTTTGGCGTGTGATTTTCGTCGTGGCCCACAGCGGCAAGGCAGCTTCTGCGCCGTCGAAACTGCCCATGCCTACAATGCCTTCCACAAGTTCGACGGCCAGCGTGGCCCTGCCTTCAGTGACCTCCCAGCCTGGTCACTACCGTAGGGTGGAGCGAGGCTTCGTGCTTGCCGTCGTCAGCCGAGCAAGCCGCGATTCTTCCGCTTAGTTGGTGTTCAGTCTATGGACGGTGGTCTCAGCAGTAGCAATCCCAAACATCATCACCGGGCTGATCACTTTATTAAACAACCCCTAACGTGAAAAAATCACATCGGGGCGAATCCTCCCGAGGTCATCCCTGCCTTTCAAAACCTATTCTGAATTGAGGGGGTGCAAGAGCAGGAGCAACAGCAATTTGGAGCATCAGCATTGAGCAGCGGCGAGAGCAAAGCAAAAGCAAGAGAGGGAGTATGAGCAAGAGCAGGAGCAAAAGCCAGCGAGGGAGCAAGAGCACGACCCCTCAAAAGTGGCAGTAGAGATAAAAATGCACGATAGTTTTATAAATACTTTCCGAGTTTCTTTTTGGGGGGGGGGCCGTTCAATATTTGGGGGAAAGGGTTACTTACATTTGGGGCGGGCAGATTTTTCAAGTTTTGTGACTCCGGCTTCCACAGGCCATGCTCGCAACTCCAAGAACCACCCCAATACTTCGAAGCCGCAACATACGGCATTAGGACTTGGCCAACATTCCTCCCTCTGGACCTCGACGTTTTGCACTGTGCCCCAGGCCTCGACAAATAGCTTTGGGCCGGCGGCATCCTTTCACCCAGGCCGTGTGGAGCACATCAAAGAACAGCTTGCGGTTTGACCATGTTTTGCTTCCGTCATCGTTTCAGATCAGCAGTCGACTGGCTCAGGGATGGGGCTTGGCTGTTTCAATCATGTTTGCAGGCTTTGGATTAATGCATATGGGGTTTGGTCATTCTGCTGTGCTGGGTCTTGACTGTCGCACCTGTCGCACCACCCAGCCAGAGTTGTCCAGTTCTCAAACATCAGAGTTCGGAGGAGCTGGAGCCCAGTTTCCGCCTCCAGTACCAGCTGCAGCTGGCGTCATGCTCAGAAGGGAGGAGTTGGACAGCTTGCTCGAACCAAACTGTCGATCCCGGTTGTTTCGATGCGTCGGCAGAAGGAGGAAGGAAGGTGGAGTCTAAATGCAGTCTTGGGAAGCTGACTATAAGCACTTCAGCAAAAGCATCCCTTTTCGGGCCCGAATTGAGGCTGGGGCGTACATATTGAAATGAGGGTTTTGCATTACACTCCTCTGATCAACTTGCCTTTCGGCTGCTCCTCGCATGTCCCAGAGCTACGCCCCCTTGACCCACTTGGAATGGGTTTGCTACGCTACGCCATACTATAAGCGACCATGCTGTGTGGTGATATTGTTCAACTTCTTGGGGGTGGCAAATTCGCCTTGCTTGCCGGAGGCGCGACCGTGATACCTGTGCGGCCGCAGCATGGCGACCTTTCTGCCGCAGGTCAGGATGAATTAGTCTCCCTGATTATGTGGGTAGGTGCGAGAGGGAAAAAATTATGTGGGTAGTTCTCTGCATTGGGCTACACTTTGTGAATAACTCGAAGAATGACTTGAATAGTTGATTGTTGAAACAATTTGAGGCTTGATCCCCCATGCGTGGAAAACGGACCGACATGACTGGAATCTTTGGTACTTTAAGCCTGTGTAGCTGGACCAGGGTTCTCCACACTGAGATGTCGATTGCGCTTGTCACTACCATTCTCAGTATTGTAACCAGCATTCACTGTTTTATTATTGCAGCAAAATTATTGCAGCTCCCTGCTGAGCGGACCCAGCCAAGAAACGCAGGAGGCAGAAACTTGTATACCCTACAACCGTAATATTTAAATCGACTCCCTGAGTCAAACTTATTCTGTAGCCCTTACAGGAACTCGTTCGGAACCTCATGCGGCCACAAGTGTGGGTTGCCTTGACCCTCGCCGGCCATTGGCTTGCCAGGTCTCTCGCATGGCGGGAGTTTGCCCTCCTTTCTTGGCCGGGTCTCCCAGGTTTGCCGCGTGGATGCTTTAAAGTGGCGTCTTTGGACGAGGTTAACAGTGGTTGGTAGTAATTAGTAAGTAGAAGCTGGTAAGAGTAAGTAGTCTTCAAGTTCCTAAAGCCCGGGGCCCGGTCTTTGAAGAGTGAGGCTCTGGAAAAGTGGAAGAGATCCTTGATCTCGAAGTTTGTCCAAATCCACGGAAGCCTAAACCTCTAAACCCTCAGTCTGGAATTCTTCGAATTGTGAGCGCCGAAACGCTGGATTTAGAGACTGGGCAAAGTGGGTGGTGTAGTGCTGGGTCTGTGCAGAACTGAAATACGCAACGTAACAGTTAAACTGCTGACCTCGGCTGACTCTGCAAAAGACCCACCAGCATCTGCTTTAAGCTGTTCATGAGGTGTCACCGGGCGTGTTTGAAATTAAAGTATTAAAGCTCTTAGCATTGGCTGAAGCTGAGGTCCTGCGAGTCGCTGTTTCTTTACTTTATGGTTTGGTTTTTGTATGCTGGGGCTTGAGTAGTGTGATCAGGCAAAGTGAAGCCTTGCCCGCCTTGTGTGATTGTGAGAGTCCGGCTAAAGCGCAAGCTCTTCAGCGTTTCGTTCGAGCTTGCTCACTGCCCGAGGCTCTGCCGCGCTGGCAGGGCCATGTGGGTTTCCGGAGCTGAGCGCACACCCCAAGGTCCTGAGCTGAGACTTTGAGGTTGAGGGAGGGTCGACTAACATCGGCACTACGTGAGGGGTCCTGACAACAATGCTCCTTCTGGCTGCCGACCTGGGTGAGTGCTCTTTGACAAACGGTTGCCTGCTTCTTGCATCGAAATGTCGGTGCGGGAAGCGTTGCACGAGTCACCCAAGCTACTGTAGTGTACGTGTGCTATCGGCTGCAGAGGTATACA